CTTCCTGCTCATGCTGCCCCACGGGCACAGCGATATCTCCTGGAGAGTGTCTGGCGTGGGCTGCACCCCTGTGCGAGGGCGCAGGGCAGGGGAGCTCAAGGCTGCAGCACTGGGCAGAGGCTCCTCTTGCCCTGCTCTGTGGCAGGACTGGAGCTGGGATGGAGCAGGCGGGTAGGGTTGCCCGCTGTGTGTGGAGCACAGGGGCAGGAAGGCCTTGGTGGTGTCCCGTGCCGCATGGCCAGGGCTGGCTGCAGCTGGTGCTGCCCTGGCGCCTCTGCAGTGAGTGCAGCCATGGCAGCCTTGGGTAGTGACCGTGGGGCAGATTTGCATGAAGGGGCCACACCCAGGAGGATGCGGGTGAAAAAGACGTTAGAGAAGGGTGAAAAAGACGTTAGAGAAGTGCCCTGGGCAGCCTGGCTGTGCGCGGCCGGCACAGGGGTCCCGGGGCGTCACGCTGCGCGGGGGGGCTCTGCTGCTGCGGCACTCGCTGACCCGCCGCTTTCTGCCCTCTCTCCTCTCCCTCTGCAGGTTCCCTGGTCCAGGCAGCGCTGACTCAGGAACCGACCTCGGTGGACGTGTCCCTGGGAAGCACCGCCAGCTTTGACTGCTCTGGTGATAGCAGCTGGCATGGCTGTTGGCAACAGAAACCTGGAAGCGCCCCGGTTGCTGTGATATATTGGAATGACAAGAGACCCTCGGGCATCCCTGAATGATTCTCCGGTTCCTTGTCTGGCTCCATGGGCACCTTAACCGTCACTGGCGCGCAAGGTAAGGTCGTGGCTGTGTATTACTGTAGTGACAGCCATGATGGTGTTGTGGGAGACACTGAGCACTGGTGGGACTAGGGGGTGGTGGGCAGTCTTGTGACCCCCTGTGAGTGTACTGACCAGCCTGGCACTCCTACATAGGCCACTCAATGTGGACATTCTCATATCAGGCCATAGCCCAAATTCTGAAATATTTGACCAAGAAAGCAAATTCTGCCTCCTCTCAGAATCAGCACCAGGAGCCTACACTGTCTTGGAGATGTGAGTGAAACGGGTTGAGGGAACTTGCAGCTGCCCAATACAGCAAGCACCTGTAGTCATTACCTTAAATGTTCCTGTTCATCCCCTAGTGCCCACCCACCACTGCACTTCAGAGCTCTCATGAACCCCTGTGTGTTTTGTGAGAGACTAGCCCTGTCTCTTCACAGATGAACAAATGAGGCTTCTTGCACTGGAGAGACTTTCTTTAGCCAAAGTATTGGATAGGACCCAGCCCTGGTGTGTGACCTTCTCATTTCTGAGTGTTTAGAGGGCTGAGCTGCAGGAGCTTCTTGACTTGTGTCTGGCTCCTGGTGCTGTCCCCACAGTGAAACGCTCCCAAGCAGCCCTTTTTCCTGAGATACCAGCAGCTGAAGTGGCAGACGTTGCGTTGTCCTGTACAGGGGGCTTTGCTGCTGTGGCACTCGCTGACCCGCCGCTTTCTGCCCTCTCTCCTCTCCCTCTGCAGGTTCCCTGGTCCAGGCAGC